AATTATAAAGTAGTGGTGATCTTTCTAAATACACACATATTCGAGTAGGGAAGGCTTTGTCAATTCTTTTAAATGATGCTTGAAAGGATAGATAATGATTTAATCGACATGATAAATAGTGATTTTATCGTTGTAATAAATGATAAATAGAAATAATGGATAAGGATTTAATCGTTGTGCTGGATGATAATCATGAATTATGGATAGGAAAAATGAATAACGATTTAATCATTGTATTAAGTAGTGGATAGTGATTTCATTGTTGATAATGAATAACAGACGGGGGGGGAATGGATAACCATTTCGTCATTGCAATGACAAATGACAGTTCAACAAATGATACATCATTTTCCAGATATTCTCATATATGGGATTAACCTACTACTTTCATCAATATTTAAAAGATAAAAGATGATTGTAATTAAGACAGGAAGAGGAGAGTTCAGTATAAATCATCAATAATAAATGCTGAAATTGAAATAAATCAATATATAAAAAAATAACTTATGTTCTATGGAATATATCCAGTATTATTGATATGATATCACTGATATCATTTGAGTAATCAGGTATTTTACTGTTATCAGTTTCTCCTTTTCTATCTGACATTTTCTGTTAAATTAACATAAAAAGGAAAAACATCGACTTTCTTTAAAGTTTTCTTCTTTCATCTTTCCACTTTCTCCAATTACTATGCTTTAGAAATTATTTGGAATTCAAGACAAAACCATAAAAAGTATTACCTCATAATTATATAAAAACATGAAGAACACTATATTTTATAATGAAATCATTGTATTAATTTGATCGGTTTCTCCGTCAATGTTGATATCATTTATTGTAAGTAAAAATTGATATAAAATTGAAAATATAAAGAACTTTTTAAAGAAAATGACAAATTTAACATGAAAGCAAAAAAGAAAAGAGATAACTATCTTTCTTTTCTACTTTTATTTTAAATTCATTTTTCGTGACCAGTTTTCCTTTTAAAATCGTTTCAAATTCTAAAATACAAATGGTAAAATTAATTATTAAATAATGGTAGTAAAACAAAATGGTATAGCAAATAACTTATAGTGAAGAAAGTAAATAATGTAAATAGTAAAATAGCTCGGATAATTAAATGTAATTTGGATGCATTAAATTCTCGAATTAAATTAAGCACTTGAGCTCGAGTCTCCTCAATAGCACCACTATTATTCACAATATGAGTTGCACGATGACGTTTATCATACATCGGATATTGTGCATTGATCCGTTTTCGAGCGGCTTTTTCATCAATATTATCTCGTTGTTGTAAGCGTTTCAATTGAACATTTTCAAGACTGAAAAGACAACTGCAAATGAAAACAGATGTAGCGCTGATGTAATATTATATCATTGTATTATTAACCCACTTACTTAGTATTACGAAAAGAAAGGAAAAGAAAACATTGCAGAAGAAAGAATCAAAAAGAATTCATTTGATATAAGTAATTACAGTATGTAAGTAAGAAAAACGAAACGTAAAATGGTGCATACAGCCTTAAATTACTTCAATAAGTCGTAATTGCAAGAATTTTCTTCTTCTTGTAACCCAAATATGAATGTATTAAAATATTGAATACATAATAAGCAAAATTTTTAAACCTACCAGTCTACCAATACTATTGATTGCACAATTCTCGCATAACCAGCTTCAAAAAGTAATGGAAGATCTAAAACAACAAATTTTTCACCACGAAAAAAATATTGCAAAATTCGAAGTGCTATAGTTTTACGTATTTCAGGATGTGTAATTGAATTCACCAAATGACGAACCTGAAAATTTTTGACTTTTGATATTGAAAAATAAAAAATTAAAGATAAAAGTACCTGAAATATATAAATATTGTTAATAGTTTGTAAGATGTAAAAAAGAGAAGAAAAAAGACAACAGAAAACTTTACATTTTCATCAGAGAAAACCAAATCACCGAATTTTTTCCTTAATAATTCACCACTTACACTATCAAAGAATTCATCACCAAAATGCTGGCGCAATTTTTCATATGCATTTTCGCCTGGTGCAACAACTATAAAGTGAATTTTAGATAGGATCGCTGACAATATAACTTATTAAATATATTTTAAAAATTCCGATTTCACTTGCTACTTATTTTTTTCATATAATAAGGTCTCAAACTTTGTCAGTTGACATGAATTTTTCGTTTCAACATTTCATAACTTTTTCTCTTTTCAATGTTATAATTTTATTGTTCATACACTGATCACAGTTCACCATACAATTCAGTAATAAATACAACTCTACTTTTACTATTTTTACAAAAAAAAAAAAAAAAAAAATGAAAATTCAACAAAACGAAATGATATACTTATTCGCATGTGCTAATAAGAAAACAATAAAATATTACATCCGTATTTCTTGATTTATTGTAGAAAAATAGGTAAGCTTAATTATTATCATACCTAAATATCAAATCATATTATGTGCTATAGAAAACAATGAAATTTTTATCAATTAAAACGATTTTTAATAAAAAATTAAAAAGATTTATTTCCTATTTATAAGTAGATGTACAAAAATAATTTTTTATAAAAATAGAATATTTGATTTACATGTTCCAAAGAAGTATTTTTTGTGAAGTAATACATAAATGTATAATTTATCTACCGCTTTGTTATTTGAAAAGAATATAAAATAAAATCTCGAACTTCTCATTAAATCAGAATCGCAGCAAACTTACATTAATGAACAACAATTAATCACCTCTCTCAATTACTAATTATGGAAAAGAAAAATCATACCTTCACGAGCAATCAAATCTGCATCAATAACTGGCACATGATTTTCGACAAAAATTTGTGAAACAGTACTTTTCCCGGTTGCTATACCACCGGTTAAACCAATCAAATACATTTTACACTCTCCTTCAATCAATACTTCCCATATTCAGAATGAAAAGAAACCTTGTACGACCCATCAAGAGGATCACAATAAGAATAAATGGCACCATTTCATCGTCTATTTCGAGACTACATAAAATGTTAAAAAACATATTGCGCTTTCTCTTTTAAATAATTTACAGCAATTTTGGATTCCTTTCTTTATCAATGTGGAACATCAGTGAAATAAAAAGAAAAGCAAAAAGAACAATGTGACCATATAACATGCAAGTCACCTACTTGTTTTGCTCATTTTTAGAGCATTTCAACTCTTCGCTGATTACTTGAGCATGAAGAGTTAGAAAAGTAAATGCAACTTTTTCTCTTAATCATTCATCGAAGAAATTCATGTCATAAAAACAATATGTTGACATTAACATACAGTTACGCATACTTGCTAGACTCATTTTATTCTTTATTAATATACTTATATAAATTCATGAAGGTTAATCAGTGAACTACTTTCCACCATTTCAACTGCTTTTTTTAATTTGAAATTTCTTGTTGTGAAATTGTAATTATCTGCGCTGGTGGGTGACATTTAACTGTTGAAGCAAAAACAAACAAAACAAATCAGTTCGTAGACTTTTTTACTCATTAAACTTGTCACAAATCGTAATTAACAGCAAAATAGAACGGAAAAAAAAGAGAAAAGAACTCGTACAAAAACATTTTTTCTTTGATTTTGAGACCTGGATATTCACCGCAAAAATGTTCCATATTAGATTTATTAAAATTTAAAAAAAAAATTGAGCTAAAATTGGAAAAATAAAAAACACAAGCTTAAAGTGGAGTTTCTGAAAATGTTCAAAATTCAAGATGCAAAAATGAAGAATGATGAAACAAAACCAAAAGTTCCGCCGAAAAAAAAGCGAAGTAAAACTAAGATTAAGAAATTAATTCTGCCTCATTACTGTTAGATGGATGAAAATAATAGAAATTCAAAAGTAAAACAATCGAATCCATCTGCAAAAAATGATAACTTTCTTTACAGTCGACATATTTGCCTGAACTTTTTAACATTCATATCGGGAAAAGAAACAAGGAGGGAAGACAAATAAATTTCATCAATCAATGACAAGGCATAAATAAGAAAACACTACAGTGCGGGCTGTTAAGTATTTTAACTGTGATTCAAAATATGGCAACTGACAAAAGATTGCAAAAAGGAGAAAACTTTCCGTATTATATCAAAGTAAAAGCAAAAAAAATGTCGCTATGTGAAGCAATTGGATCTCATTAAGATGTATATTCTCTTGTCACTGTAAACGTCCTCAAAAATTAATCCTCAAAAACTCATAACACTGTATAACGCTATCCAAAAGAAAAAAAAAATGAAAGGAACAAAAAGAGAAGAGAAGTTCGATAAAAAGATTGAAACTTCGAACCTAGTTAACTAATTTTCTTATTTTAAAATAAAGTTCAGAAAAAGGGACAGATGTAGAATGGTAAAATAATATTTTTTGAACAGCCGGAGAAGGATGACAAGTGTTGCAATCATCGCCATCATTTATAAAAAATTGAAAAGAAAAGCGGTAATGACGGAATCATTAATGTGAATAAGAGGTAAAGAACGAAGCGTTTATAAATGCTCTTCACGAAATTCTTTTGAAAATGAAGAATACTGAAAAGCAATGGAAGTGAAAATCGATAAAATTTCTTTTCTAACTTCCGTGCTTGTGTGTTTAATCGGATGAAATACCCAAGCAATCAATTAAAATCACATCCCGAACATCTAACAACAAAATGAATTAAAAAAGGATTACATCCAAACGGCGATTCTCAATGAATCAAATTGAACTCAATCACAGAAATAACTTTTAAATTACATATGAAACCACTTTCAACCATTCAATACTTGAATTTATATACAGTCTAGAAGATGAAGGAAAGGACCTGATAAAGTTCGGTGATCTTTGTCTTTTTATTTTTTCATATTTCAATAATGCACATCTCAGATTAACAATTGACATTCCTAACAGGTTCTGAAAAAGAAATGCAGCCTTTAATTTAAAAATTTAATTTTAAGAAGCCTAATTAATAAAAATTTTGCCAAAATAAGTTTTGGAACACCTACTATTTCCCCGAATGAGGATTTGATGAAAGTTGCGAATTTGACGATGTGGAATGCGGCGAAGTCGAACTGCTCGATATCACCTGGCTTCCGTACCTCGCACTTAAAGCTGCCACTGCTGCTTGCTGATGGAGTAACTGTTGCTGAGCCAACAATGCATACTGCGCCAGTAACTCCTGTAATACTCACATTTGAAATCATAGTAGATAACAGGAACTTCTTCTTTTTCTTTTTAGTTGCCGTCAATAAAATATTCATAAAAGAATGTACCGTAGAAGCGAGTTGTCCTATAGAAGATGTCCCAGAAACGGCTGTGCTCGAATGAGTTGGTGTCCGAGGAGCAACAAAATTTCCACCTAGTGCATTCGCGGCAGCCGCAGCAGCAATTGCTGCTGCAGCCATTTGTTGCCGTTCGGAAGTCAGTGTCAGGTGGGCATTATTCTGTGATCCACCAAACAGATCCAGTGCATTTGTTACAGCGGCTGTTGATGACATACTTGTTGCAAGTTGTGCATTAGTGAAATTCGCCAACAAGGGTGTACTTATCCCCGTGTTCGCTGACGCTGCCGATGGAATTCTAAAAATCTATTTTCCTTTATGCTTCATATAATAATAATCATTGCTATTGCTTCCTACACATTAGAGTTCAGTAATACTACTTCACTCACACAAATTTCTACCCATCTTTCTCTCTGTCTAAACTCGATCACTCAAATGACTCTGAAAAAGTCCGTTATCATCCTTTTCAAATACTAAATCATCAACTACTAATTATTTGAAATAATCTTCTACTTCACTATTTAGAAATCTCAACTGGACGATAATGAGAATACAATCAAGAGCGGACAAATAACAACCGATGCACTCATATATTTATTTCAATAAAATTACAAGAAAAACTTGCCGACTGGAAGGAAGTGAAGCTTGTTGCACTGATGCAGTACCAGCAGTACTAGCTACAGGTGTTTGTCGGTTTTCTGTACCAGCAGTGGTACCAGCCAATTGTCCGGCAGCAGCGACCGCAGCAGCAGCAGCAGCCGCAGCTACAGCAGCTTGTGGTGTATGACTACTTCGGTTTGTGATCACTGATCCGTTATTTGCAAGGGAACGCAGCTGATTCAGCGAATCATCGATAATGGGTGGAAGGGTGGAACAAAATGGATTCAAAAAAGAGATGACTGCAGAACCAGCAGCTGCCTGAAGGGACTGTTGCTGTTGTTGTTGTCCACACACTGTTGTTGGTGGTAGAGGTACAATTGATGGGAGACTTGAAATGGATGCAGAGGAGGTAGATTGTGTTGTACACTGTGTTGATGAGATGCCGCTGTTCGACTGCATGCTGCTGGTTGAAGCTAATGGAATACCGCTACCTGCTGCACTGATCCGTGGTGAATGATGCGGACTGAAAGATACTTTTAGTGGTAATGTTCTTTTAGGATCACTTTAATATCCCATGATTAAGCTTAAAAGTTAGCAGGTAATAAAAACGAGTAGAATGACGTAATGTTTCAAACTGTATCTGTAGAAAGCACTGTTTTACAAACTGCGCTATAGCTGGACACGAATGAGATTGACTATGATACTGTTAGTGATATATTTCTTCGACTACGTCTACTCACTGCAAGTAAAAATTGCGGAAGGTCGAACTACAGGAAACACACCTGGTACCAAGGCCCAATGAAGAGCCGCTTGCCAGCGATAGTGACAACCTGGTATTTAATGCAAGAAGATGATCTCGCCGCCTAGCAAGCTGTGATAATGTTTCTTCCAAACGAATATTTTCCATTTTCAACTCATGCAAACATGACAAAAGTTGTGCAACTGAAAAAATTCTTAACAATCTGGATAAAATCGATTAGTTTCGAACAGCTCTGATTTAAAGATAGCAGTCAAATTGGGTTTTTGTTAATTCCTTACATATTACCATATTACTAAAACTGCTTATTTAAATCCTGAGTATTCTATAAAAACCAACAAGCAAACATATTTTTACAATAATCAAGAAATATATCCCTTTTGCAAGGCATTCCATTCATTATAGAAGCTTTTTAAAAGCAGTAGGATTTTTTTTTTAAAGCAATAAAAATTTAATGGCAAGATCCCATCTTCAAAAACGGAAGTGTGGGAGATTACTGCAAAACGAAAAGAAAGAAAACAAACTATCAAATGGTGCATGACTCATCAAGAAGTGTGATCCCTGCTCCCATTGCCGTTCCAGCAATTCTTCCATCGATTGTGGAAAAGCTACCGATTGTTGAGACACGGGACAAAGAGATGTTGTAGCTCCAGCTGCACCAGATGTTGATGGCAATGATGATGCAACGTGAGTACGATCCACCGCTATAACCGCCGCACTAAAGAAATAACATCAAGCATATGAAATAGAAACTGATGCAATTATAAAAGTTTTCGAAAACGTTTTTGAAGTCAATACGAAATTGATCTAGCATACATTGTCAATTAATCATTTTATCTCAAGAGCATCCGCAGAACTTCGAGTAATGTATTGCAAGTTTTCCAGTAATCCTGCATTTCATTAATATCAAAAGGAAGAAATGCTTACCCAGCATCCGGACTTACTACAGCCTTTGGTTGTGCCCTTATAAGTGGTACACCAACAAACGTTGATGTTGTTACTGTTGACGTTGACGGTTGTTGCTGCTGCGTTGACGTCAAAGAACACGTCACTACAGTACAGTGAGCTGAAAGAAAAACCTAACAATGGATATTTTAGTAATTCATTCTAGAAATGAGAAAGTAATATATTTCTTCCTCTCACTCTTTTGATCGCAGATAACTAATGAAAAAATACCCGTTGAAGTGCTTGCCGAATCTGTACAAGTTGTTATTTCATGTTCTCCAGAAGTTGAAGGAGCAGTTGAATGAGATATTGCAGCAGTTGTCATACTACTATCGCGCTCATTTAATCGCTCCCGTTGAAAATCGGAAACTGTTTCCTGGGCAGAAAAAATTTAAGAGTATTTTTGAAACCAAAATTGACGAAAAAAATTGATACGAGAGAGAAAACAAAAGGAATTATCCTCTTGTTTTTTATTTCAATGACTACGAATATACATGCATCACGATAATGAAAACATTCGCTAGACTGAATGATCAAATGCAGATAATGCACACAAAAAATGAAAGTAAAAACTAAAACATTTTGAAATATTCATAAATTACCGAGATCAAAGGCCCAACCGATTCGAGTAATGCTTTCATAGATTTACATGCTTTGTTATTACGAGGGCGTTTCGGCCTCTCTGCGGCCTCAGCTGCTTTTCTTTTTACTGAAAAAAAAAAAGACAAATTCCAACACACTCTCAAAATATAGTAACATCTCGACATAACATATATTTAAAAATTTTCTGGATTGACTGCGTTTTAGCCAGACACCAGTGTAACAGTGTAACAAATAAACAAGTCATTTTTTACATGAGTGAAGAAAAATGACGAATAAAAATGGATCCATTAGTTAAAACCAGTTTTCAAACATCAATTTCTTAGTTTCACTCAACATTATCTTAGTAAGAAATTAGTACTTTCATTTCAAAGTAATGAAGTTATCTACACGATTTTCCTTTTTAAGCAAATCATACCAGTTTTATTTCCAACACTAGCAACTGAACCATTGTCTATAGGAACATAATTCGTACGACTTTGCAGCTTGATTTCTAGTTGAGATATTAAACTGCCATTCAAATCTTTTTCTTCTGCTATATCAGTTGATAACTCGCTCTGAATACATTATACTTTAAAAGTGGAAAACTTATGGAACAGTTTCAACAATTCTAAAATTAAATTTTTAAAAGATTAAGTTTTTCTTTAGAAGAAGTGTTAACTTTTTGTGCGGATGCACCGAGAAGTGCAACATTTGAAGGTAAAGAGATAGTTGCATTTGAAGAACTTGGTAATTCGTAGACTGACTGATCTTTCTTCAACGAAACTGATGCAGTAACAGGTGGAGGTGTACTGTGAGCTGTTGATGATCTACAACAGACGATTTTAATTTGCTTTGAACATATGAAACATTCACATATAACGAGTGAGTCACATCATTAAAAAAGAAAAATTTATTCAAACTTAAAAAATCACATTATGCTTCTACTATAATCTGATATTGTGAAGAAAATGTCAATACTGGAAACTGTTACCTGCCACTTGACATTGGTGGACTGCAAGCATCATCACGCATTGAATGGACTGCTAATGATTGAGACATTACAGCATTTAACATAGCTCTGTCAACTGTTGGTGGTGGTAATGAAGTACTGAAAGGCATATTTAGCGAATACCACCGTAAAAAGGATATGCAGACGAACAATTTATCCAAAACAAACTTCTCTTAAGACACAGTCCATTACTCCTACTTCCTCATCTACTTCGTTCTACAAAAAGGACAATGAGCCAACCGGTATAATGCGTCTACAAGCATTGCAGGTCCCTCAGCTCGTAAACTCGACGGAAATGATGTTGCAGTACCGCTTGATGATGTAGTTGTTGCTAATTTGACACTGCCGTAACTGCTACCGATTGATGTATTCTGCAGCAGTTCCTGCAAAACAAAAAAAAATGTAAAGATGAAAATACATCAGTTTAAAACCTCTATAATTTACTCTGTGTGGAAATTTCCACTTCTCTAGCGCTCTGACTGCTTTCACTTTTGCCAAAACTCAAAAAATTTCAGTGTCTTGAAGCAAAGTAATAAAGAAGGCCAGGTATTACAGTTTAACTTCCATAAATGATATTCATTACTACTAATAGCAAGATTACACAAACCAAAAATTTAATGTTTTATCTTTCTGCCTTGTCCTTAAAACATTTCAGTTATATGTTAGTTCGAACTAGTTAAATTCCTTAAACATGCCAGAAGGTTGCAGCGAATTAGATTTTAAGCTGCCTCAAAATTTGTATTAAAACACATAACGAGCTATGAGATAGTGAAATAAAATTACTCACGGATGAGTTGAAATGAGGTGAGCTGGTAGAAGATGTTTGACCGCTATTATCACCACTGCAAATATTCCCAGTACCTAATTTTGGAGTTACTGCACGCTGGACACCACCACCACCTCCACTTCCCGATGAACACGATGATTCTGCCCGATGTCGATATGGTGGTATAATTTTTATTAATGGATCGCTGATCTGCAATATAATGAATCATATAAAGTTAGTATTTCTGCGCAAGTGTGCATCTTATCCATTGTTATAACACTTCATTAATTATCCACCCATTCTCTAAAACAAGCAGAAAGTATTTCATTTGTAAATTGCTTTTATGGAAAATCTGGAAATACGTTAACCGTATAGCTGATAATCAATCATTTATAACTTAAACATTAGCATAAATAGTTATTCATCTGCTAATACTAAATTCACGAAACCAAATCCCTTAAAGAGACATATTCATCTGAAATATTTAAAACAGTAAAATTAATGCAAGGAAAAAGCATTACACGTCGACACACTCGTCATTTGTAAAATAATTATCACCTTATCCAGGTACTATCACCTGCAGAGACATTTTCCGTACAAAAAAGAGAAATCATACATTTGATGAAAAAGTCATAAACATCTCTCAACTCAACAGTTATTATTCTTATTATTATCTTTCTGTGATGCGAAAATAAGAAAACAAAGAGTGATACGACAATATCAAAAGCATTAACCACGACAAATATACGGAAGATAAAGAAAATAGAAGATGTGAAAAAGGCAAAAACAGTGAAAACAGATCTACAACCTAACTATTTTTACTAAACAGATGAAGCTAACTGCTTGCGTTAGTTTCTGCTTTATGGACAGCTGCCATTGACATAACGAGCCGGGAGGAACACAAAAACGAATTTGACTAATTTCCACAAATTTTCGAGATCCATTTTCACACAGTAAATTCAGCAAATCATCATCACTCACTCTCTCTCTCTCTCTCTGTCATACGCTGGCAATAGCGCATTACTAACATAAGCATTTACTACTACTTATATCGATTACCATAATATATAACATAGTAAGACTGAACAACATTTCTATCCAATTATTTCAAATTCCATTGCACTATTTAAAATTTAAAGGTACAGGTTGTAAGATTAATGACTAATTTCACTTAAAAAATCCATTCACATCAATATTATGCGTTTACAAACTGCTACTACCACTACTACTGTTCTCCTACTCTCATATTTAAACAATAAATAGCTACACAAATAATTCACCACTGATCTATTAAAATAAACTGTCAGTACATAATTCCAGAAACAAAAACAGAAAAAATGTAAAATCAGTGACAGATTTATTTTGTTACACTTCGAAAATTTAGAGATAACTGGTACGATTCAATGTCTAATAATTGGAGATGATAGATGAAAAATAGACATAAGTACTGGTTCATCACTAATGAATGAAACTTAGTGTGATCAAAAAGAATATCATCTAAGTTAGTAAATAAATTTTTCTTGTGAAAACGGCAAAAAACAAGCAAAAATGCTACATTTGAACACTCTATGTTCTAAGCACTAACTTAACATATAACAGGATATATGGTAGCATTTTTCTCAACAGATTACTAGATAGCATGGAGCATGAAAAGGCCAAAGTTATTCAAGCGTTAGTAATTACAGTCACTGGTGCAATGCAAAATCATTGATTTAGTTGCCATGCCAGTTTTACCATGAACAAAAAGAGAAAAAAATCAATGGAACATAACTTCTGAACTTATTACGGGGTCATCTATACTTCCCAGCATTATTTTAATTTCTATAAAATATTCCCTCAATATCAGCTATAAGCTAACGGAGAAAGTACATGTACATCTATCTAACATAAATAATCGAATGACTTTTGCTAAAAAAAAAATGAACGAAAAAAAAAAGATGAGATCAATATGCGAAAGAAAAAGAATTCCTTGGCGCAGCAACAAAATGCAATCAGAACGAAAAACTGTTTACTAACAGATGGAGAAATACGGCAAAAATAAAGCGCCAATGCGTCATTGTCGAACGTAATTTTCTTCTTGTTCCTACAGAAAGACTATGACCATAGATGCCTAAATAATAAAAAGAAAAAGAAGAAAATTAATATGCCAATTCAATGAAAATGATGAAAAGGAAATAATTTGCTTTACAAATGAAAGTTTACCAAAAAAATAGGAAAAAAAACAAAATGTCGTAGCTACTCTTCACAATGTACCATACATATTTGCAATCACCAAACGTATCATACAGTTTTTATACTGTTTCATAACGTCGATTACAATTTCTAAACTTATTCCGCAAAAGAAGTGATACATTTACTGCGTTAAACTTCATTGCGGTTCACTGTGGATCATAAGATTAAAAACACTTCTTATCATTCAGAAAATATCGAATGTCAGAGTGATACAGTAATAACATAACATAATGATAATATGAAAATACAATATAATATAACATAATGTAATAATATCAGTATAATGTATAACAATATATATATATGAACATTATTTTTGTCCGTAAATCTCATTATCCTTTTATAATCAACTATTGTTAGTAATCGAATTACCTTATCACTTTTCTCAAAATGTAAACAGTTTACTGATAAAACACTAAAAAAAAAACTAAACAAAGAAATTGCAAGCTATACAACATTAGGTGAAAATGAGGAAAAAGGCAACTGGAGCAATATTTTGCTTGAAATATTTAACGTGTCTTGAATGCGAGCATAACAATAAACTAGATATGTAGCAAAGTCCAAAAATGAACATTTAAATATGTGTATATATAATAATATATAATAAATATATATGTCTCTCCTTCGTACCAACAATATCTGACATCAGTTCAACTTTCCTCTCCCTCTTTTCTGCAGACATTCATTTTCCCTCCTATCCAATGTACAATACTCTCTTCTTCTCCAACTACTCCTACCCAAACAGATGGATGGATGAACTAAATCAAATGGAACCAAAACCGACCAGTGACAGATGACAATTGCTCTCTATACAGGTCCCTTCAAAACTCTTTCCCTTCACTTACTTCTTCCTCTTTATTTCCACCTGCAAATAGCCTCTAGTACAATACATACATCTATGTCTATTTATACTGTATTTCTATGCAACCACTTCCTATTTAAACTTCATCAAACTATTTGGAGATAATGGCGACGATGGTGATAAAATGACATCCAGAGTAATGTCCTCTAATGTATACCTGCTTCTACACTTTCATTTCACCATGAAACTTTGTTGTCAATTATTTTTATATGAATTAAATCAACGATTATATCCTCCTTCTTACTTTGTTCCTTTTTTCCTTGCAATTCAATTTCTATTCATCACTTCTTCCTCGATTAAAATTTAATTCCACGCCGTAATGGAATTGCTTACAGAAGCAAATGGATGTGTGATTTTTTGAACGCGCTTAAGATTACAAGTTTTCAGTAACTGAATTGCAAAAAGATACTCATAAAATAAATAAATAAAAACAAACCGCTTTCTTTGCATGTGCCGCACAATACCCACAATATTTGACATTCTTCGATCCACCACCTTCTTCACACAGTAAGCCTTCAGCTTGTGCGCAAGTAACATGAAAACACTAACGCAAAATAATATTCATCAATGACAGCAAGAACAAACTTTCAGTAAACGATAATAACAAACATAGAGGACAAAAAAAGCCTAGTCAAACTGACATGCTGATGAATTGTCCGAAAATTTTTGATCAAAAAAATTTATTTACGCAATTTATCTTAGTTACATAAACAAATTCATTTCGCAAATACTTTATAAACATTCTTAGTAAAATTAAAGAATAAGACATTCCTATTCTAAATACATATTCCTATTTTAGCCAAATTATTCAAATAAAAAAGAATGGTACTGGTTCATATTGTCAATATCTTATGCTTGTTCATTTATTTTTGTCATATGCTAATATTACCTTCTTACAACCAGGTTTATTACACGGCATGCATGCACCAAGATACGCTCGTTTTTCTTCCCCACGTTCCATACATAGGTAACACTGCTGTTGAAACCTGCAATGTAAACATGTGACATTCCAATCACATTGTGATTGCAAAAAATTTCATGAAAAAAAAAGAATGGATGAAAAGCAACATAATTTAAAGAAGTCGTGACAGACACATGCATTTATTTGTTAGGCACTTGCCTGCAATTGCCAAAAAAGATTCAAAAACTTAATGCTTTAAGAGAGTTGTGAGCTCCATAGTTTCACCAAATGGCTAAATTAAGTTCAGTTGGAAAATAAAATTAAGCTAGAGAAACAGAATAATCTGACATTTTTAAAGTGGAGGTCAGAACAGATATGGATAGACTTAGTTATGTGAATTTCGAAATTAAATTGGGAAAAACCAACCGTTCCAGTGGAACATCACTAAGAATTACTGGGTCCATACTGTGGACATCTCCAAAACGCACTTCCGGTATGTACAAAGCGCAGATGACATGTGCCCATTCTAAAACTGAATATAGCAAAAAATTCCAATAAATCAATTGCTGACCGCCAATATTAATTTCAAATTTCAACAGATTCCAACAAATTAGAAACTAAGCTAAAAGAAAACAACAAGAGCACAGCCTTCATGATCTGCAAAGAAATCACCATATTCTGGAAAGATTTAATACCACTAAACGAATTAACCAAGCATATGCCTCGCTTTTGATTGTGCGAATTAATCCCTCGGTTCAACTGCTACATTTTATAAGAAGCTCTTAGCTACTACATTAAAAATTGCTCCCAGAGAAGAATGTGTTGAAAATTGAGAGATTACACGGTAACCTTTCCACATATTCGTCAAAAGGATAAGTGATGATAATATCACGTATTTGTAGTGTTTACTCAAAATGATAGATATATAAATAAATATCACACGATCTAGACTACCGCAACACTGACCATCGTTATCGGTCCGTTTGAGTGCACCATGACCAAAGGGACACAATTTACAACGCGGTATTTCGCGTACCTCTCCAACATCACCGTTATTTCCGTTGTACTGCGAATGTGCAATAAAATCGGCGCACTTTGCACAATACCATTCACCTTCTGGTACTTCAACAATACCATAACAGCCTGAAAATCACATAATAATGACCCTACAACAATTCATTAAAACAATTCAATTTTTTTATTTTTTCCTCCATTTGCTTATAGTAAAAATAACTGTGTTTTATAACGAGCAAATGCAATTGTATTTTAAAGCATTGTTACTATTCATTAACCACAAGTAAACAAATTTTACGGAGTTAAAGAGTCCAAGATTGGCAGGTTATGCGACAAGTTCTAGTTCACAGAAATAAGCGACAAATAAAACAAAAACTCAAAAGTATATGAAAGGCATGCAGCTCTGATGATTAACAGCTATTAAAAAATACTTAAATCAACATAACCTCTATCAGAATGAGGCATAGAATCTCACCCCAACCAGTTTACAAAACTGTATCTTCTGTACATATTAGAATAATGTACATATTATCAATCAAATAATTACTGCTAGTAATAGCAATAAAACACAATACATTAA